GCTCTGTGTCAGAGAGGATTCCCAAGGCTACTCCAGCTCACTGCCCCACCCTGCCGCAAGGCTTGCTGGGAACTGGGTCAGCCGCTTGACTTCTTAAGGTAGCTATTATACCAGCTCAGGGTGACTTAAGGTAGATCAGATACTTGTGGAGAAAATGGCAAAAAGGAAGCAAACGTGTAACTGATGGCATGTCGCAAGAACAGGCCTAAGTTTTTTTTTGTTTTGTTTTGTTTTTGTCGGTCGTGGGGCTTGAACTCTGGGCCTGGGCGCTGTCCCTCAGCTCTTCAGCTCAAGGCGAGCACTCTACCACTTGAGCTACAGCGCCACTTCCGGTTTTCTGGTGGTTTATTGGAGATAGGAGTCTCACGGTCTTTCTTGCCCGGGCTGGCTTTGAACCTCGATCCTCAGATCTCAGCCTCCTGAGTAGCTAGGATTACAGGCGTGAGCCACCAGCGCCCGGCCAGGCCTGAGTTTTTATGTGGGCCATAATGTGTCATGCCTTGCTTGTTGGGGCCCCCAGAAGGCCTTAAGTATGAGATTCATGGGTTGGACTCTTAACAGACCTGATGTCACTATCCCTGAGGACAGGAAAAACACCAGGACTAATCACCCCAATTATAGACCACAGGAGCTGGGCTGACCGTTTCACAGCGAGGAGTACAGCTACACACACGTGGACCTACCTTGTGATGCAAGCAGTAGAGTGACCAAGCACCCTGTGGGCTGGCACTGAGGGCTGTTCTCAGGAGACAAGAACTCCATCAATACCTAGCAAGTCCCAGAAAACCAGAATGAAGCTTCAGCTGGGTATAGGTTGGCATCCAGTCACCTCCTGTGGGGGATATAGGCCCTGTCCTCTAGATCAGGGAGCCCCATCCCCTCCCCAGGCCTTAGTTTGTCTGTATGTTAAATGGGTTCGTAGTAGCACCTCCTGGGGCACACAGCAGTCACCCAGCTGTTCATACCCTAGTTTATTCTTCTTTCCATTTTCTCAGTAGATTTGTATGTGTTATGTGGTGCCAGGTACTGCTACAGGCCTGAGGGAAAAAGAAAAAAGAAAAACCCTGCCCTTGTAGAGGTGGGTAAGAGACAAAGAATAAATGAGTAAGTCCTTAGCACAGAGGGTGAGGAGACTTGTCTGGTAGGAAAACATCAAAGCCAGGGTGAGGAGGATTGAGAAGAGGACACTGGGGCTGGAGCCCAGGCCTGGAATGGAAGCATGTGCAGAGGGTGTTTTCTGAGTAGAAGGAGCAGAACTGGGCTAGTACTTGGTGACACAGCTTCTAGGGGTCCTGGAGCGTATGGTCAAGTCTCCATACCCAGTTTGACTCCAAGCAAAAGCCACGGGGAGTAGATGAGTGCTATGTGCTGATCCTTCCAGCTACTGTGTTGAAAATAGACAGAACCAGATAGCAAGAGTGGAAGAGACAAGAAGAGAAGAGAAGTTGCGAGATGGAGATGCTTAGAGGGTTTTCCTATGGAGCTGAAAAAAAGCTATACCCAGAGTGGATAGCTCCCAGATACCCAGCTATTGTGATGTCCCTTCAAATGATTTTAACATCATATGTCAAGATTTACCTACAGAATGGTCTCCTAACTCTGGGGTAGTTAATTGGAGATAAGAGTCTCAGCCTCCTCAGTAGCTGGGATTACAGACCTGCCCAGATATGCTATTAAAGAAGAGAAGGTCTTTTTCTCCCATTATGTGGTGAATCCTCCTGCTTCTTCAAAACAGCCATTCCAGTTGGATTGATGCGTTATCAGAACTCCTGTTTCCCTTGAGCAATCTCAACCCTCTCACATAGCAGTCACGGTTGGCACAGCCTTGCCATCTCTGGTCTCTGGGGAGAGAGAACCAGCAAGGACCTGCCCCCTGGCACCCTTCCTCTGCCTGCTTGGGGATCCAGATGCCCTGCCTGGACTCTCTTTTCCCAGGCCCTTGCTTTCCTTTCCTTTGGGAACCTGACTATTCAGGGCATTGGGGGAAGAAGCAGGGAACATCTGGAAGGCAGTTCAACTTGCTTCTAGGACTTTGTCCAAACTCTGCTCTCCTGCTGAGTTCAGCTGTGCCACTCAGCAGGGGACCAGGAGGGAGGCCTCACCCTGGGCTGCCAGGGGGCCTGTTTTACAGCCTCTGGCACCATCTCTCCACTGTCCCTCAACCCTCCCCACACAAAGTGGAGGCCCGATCATTCCCACCCCTGTACACCTCCAAGCAGCCTCCCCAGCCTCTCCCCCAGATCTATGAATATCTCCTACTGGCCTGGTGAGTGGGGAAGGGGGTTTCCATGAGAGCTTAGACTCAGATCTTAGGCTCTTGCTTGGCTGTTTCTACTAAAGGCTGGCTCTCTACCACTTTGTCCACAGCTCTGCTTCCAGCTTTTGGGTAGCTAGTTGGAGATGAGAGGCTCATGGTCTTCTCTGCCCTGATGCTTTGAGTCAGGATCCTCAGATCTCAGCCTCCTAAGTAACTAGGCTTACAGTCTTGAGCCACCGGGACCTGGCCAACGCTTCTGTTGTGGATAGGAAGTGGAAGCAGTCTCAGACCCTAATGACAATACTGCTTTCGTACCATTTCCTTGTCCTAATGTCTTCCTGAGGTCTAACTCAAATCTCTGCTCACGGCTGTTGAGGTCACGCTGTTGGGTGCTATTCAGTGCAGACCCCCCTCCCCCCACAGCTTCCACTCCACCTTCTCCTCTTGCTCTGGGTAAAGCTCAGTGGAAGTTCCCCTTCCCCAGTTCTTCACCTGCCCCCTGCCAACCTGTTTTTAAGAGCAAGGTTGCCCCACCCTGCCTGCAGGGAACTCATCAAACAGACAGCCAACTGCTTCCAGTGCCCAAGCCAGGACTAATTTGCTGCAGTATGTAAACAACCTGATGAGTGTCATCTGGCCCTAAGGGCTCTGGAGGAACCCCTACCCCTTCTAGGGTCCAGTTCCAAGTCCTTAAATCTTCAGGAGGGCAACTGAGAACAATTCTGCCTGTCTTGTCCTCCTGGGACTGTGCCTACAAGGGGAGCCAGGTGTGTGGTCACGGGTTGTGTGTGTTGCATGCAGGATACATAGTGCAGGTGATATGGGGTTGTGGATGTGACTGGTGTGTACAGCATGTGGTGGTGGGTGAGTGAGGGTGACGTGGGTTGCGGATGTGACTGGTGTGTGTGGTGCAAGTGTGCAGATATCCAAGTACACTTAGATGGAGGAAGCTGGTAATCAAGAACTGTGTAGAGCTGGGCCTGAGGGCTCACGCCTGTAACCCTAGCCATTCAAGAGGCTGAGATCTGAGAATCAGATCTGATTCTGAGCCACTCAAGCAAGAGAAAACCCCAAGGCTCTTATCTCCAATCAACTAGCAAAAAGCCAGAAATAGAGGTGTGGCTCAAATAAGGAAAGTACTATCCTTGAGTGAAAAAAAAAGCAAGGAAAACGTGAGTTTAAGTCCCAGTATTGGGGTATGGGCATGTGTGCGTGTGCATGTGCACACACATCACACCACATACACACAATCTTCATAGCCTTGCCTTTTCTCTGTTATTTATTTGTTTGTTTGTTTGTCTTTGCCAATCCTGGGGCTTTGCCAAACTCTGGGCCTGGGTTCTGTCCCTGAACTTCTTTTGCTCAAGGTTCTTCTCTACCAATTGAGCCACAGCACCATTCTGGCTTTTTCTGAGTAGATTATTAGAGATAAGAGTCTGATGGACTTTTCTGCCTGGGCTGGCTTTGAACTACAGTCCTCAGATCTCAACCTCCTGAGTATTTAGGATTACAGGATTTCAGCCTCCTTAGGATTACAGATATGAACTACCATTGCCCGGCCATTCTTTTTATTTAACCTGCATAGTAGTATGTCTCTTAGAACTAGTTAGTATTTAATACCTAGCAGGTGCACACTACTTAGTGTGTATGAGAGACAGAGGAAAGCCCCAGGATAGGGCTGCCTGCGGGGGGGCTGCCTGTCTACTGCAGTCTCCAAGCCTCTGCTCCCATGACCCCTTGCAGCTTCAGGCACTTGGCATCAGGACTTGTGGGCAGGCTCTGTTTCCACCTGGTATGGTCTGGAGCAGGTGGCCTGGTGTGTGTGTGTGTGTGTGTGTGTGTGTGTGTGTGTGTGTGTGTGTGTGTGCGTGTGTGTGTGTGTGGTGTGTGTGTGTGGAATATAATCAAAACTGTGTGTGTGTGTGTGTGTGTGGCCTGGTGTGTGTGTGTGGCCTGGTGTGTGTGTGTGGCCTGGTGTGTGTGTGTGGCCTGGTGTGTGTGTGGCCTGGTGTGTGTGTGTGTGGCCTGGTGTGTGTGTGTTTTCTGGCCTTCATTTGTACGCCTTGGTTGGGAGCTAGCTCAGCATTTACCAGCCTTTCCATGTTGATGGAAAGTTCTGTGTGCCTCCAAGGAACATTTTGGCATTAGTGTTCTTAACTAGAGCCTGGAGCATAATCCATGGGAACAGGTGAAAATTGGGTTCTGGGTTAGCTCATCCTAGTTACTAAATGAAACAAGAGACTCTTGTCTTAAGGCCAACTTGTTGAAGTTGGCCCATTTTTTTAAACTAAAAGTTCCTTACCCATGGAGTACTGAGCAAAGCAGGATGGTTAGCCACCCTCACTGGGTTGATCCCATAGCCAGATGAGAAAGCCAAGAGGTCTGTGTGTGTATGTGTGCACACCCATTGTAGGGCTTGAACTCAGGACCTGGGTATTGTCCCTACGCTTCTTTTGCTCAAGTCTAGCTCTACCACTTGAGCCACATAACTCCACTTCTGGCTTTTTTGGTAGTTTAATGGAGATGAGTCTCACAGACTTTCTGCCCAGGTGGGCTTTGAACCTCGATCCTCAGATCCCAGCCACCTGAGTATGAGTAGCTAGGATCACAGGTGTGAGCTACCAACACCCAGCACCAAGAACTCTTCTTTAAAGGGATCTTTTTAGAGGGTCTCTTTATACCCACATTCTTTTATCACTTCTCTTTCATCCATTTATTCATTTATCTGCTATCTCTTTTTCAGGTCTATCAGGGAACCCTGCAGACCTGGAGAAACGTAGACATGTGTTTGGAAAGAACTTAATCCCTCCAAAAAAGCCTAAGACCTTCTTAGAATTAGTGTGGGAAGCACTTCAAGATGTCACACTCATCATCCTGGAGATCGCAGCCATCATCTCGCTGGTCCTATCCTTCTATCGCCCCCCTGGTGGAGATAATGAAAGTGAGTATGTGAACAGCTCTGATCACCCCCCCTGCCCCCCAGCCCCCGCCTTTTCCCTCTGTTGGTAGTTTGCAGGTGAGAGAATAAAAGTTATGCCTAGACAGATGCCAGTGGCTCATGCCTGTAATCCTACTTACTTGACTCAGGAGGCTGAGAGCTGAGGATAGTAGTTTGAGGCCAGCCCAGGCCAGAAAGTCCATGAGACTCTTAATCACAGAAAAAGCCAGAAGTGGCACTGAGGCTCAAGTGGTAGAGTGCTAGCCTTGAGTACAAGGAGTCCAGGGACAGCACCCCCAGAATTCAAGCCCAAGGACCCATAAAAAAACAACACATGACTATCATTTGGCAGGGTCTTCAAAGAAAACCCAGTGACGTCATCCTTTTTTCCCCTCCTCCCATCAAATCCATCCTCTGCCCTTTTAGCTAAGTGTCAAGACCCTGCTTCTCCACTGTGGCATGGCACTCTGGGAAAAAGCAGAAAGGGCCCAACCACATTGGGAGTCCTAGGGTCCTTCCAGTCCTTCCGTGTGACCCGCATTGACAAAGGGTCTGCTTTTTAGTCATGTGCTTCCTTCCAAGTAGCGTAAACAGATCTAATGCTGGTGGTGAGACAGTGCTTCACCCTGCTGTCCTGATTTCCTTGGAGTTTTGTGCTTTGTTCCTCTGGCCTTCCACTTTACAATTCTTTATGTCAACAAAAGCCCCTCAGTGATTCCTTCTCTCCCTTCCCTGGATAGTCTGTGGTCAAACCGTAGCTAGCGCAGAAGATTCAGAGGAAGCAGAAACTGGCTGGATCGAGGGGGCGGCCATCCTGGCCTCGGTGATTATCGTGGTGTTAGTGACCGCCTTCAACGACTGGAGCAAAGAGAAGCAATTTCGGGGGCTGCAGAGCCGCATCGAACAGGAGCAAAAGTTCTCCATTATCCGGAATGGTCAGCTCATCCAGCTGCCTGTGGCTGAGATAGTGGTGGGAGATATCGCCCAGATCAAATACGGTGAGAGCGCCATGTGTCTTATATCAACTACACACACACGCACACACGCACGCACGCACACATGCACACACACACCCATTTGAGGAGTAGGACCATTGTGTGCTGGGCTTTGTGAAGACTCAAGAAGTTTAAAAATAAAAATGTCTGGCACATGAAGCTGTGTTGGATTCTAGGCTAGAGGTTAAGGAAGTAATAGAAGGAATTTCAAAGAAAGCAGTTGCTGAAACTCTCAAATTGGTCAGACTTGTGTACTCTGTGTTAGAGTTGAGGATATGTAATAGCCAGACCAGGGGGAGTATTTGTTTGTTTGTTTTGGAGGATCAGTAATCATTTGAGTTTAAAAAGAAATCTGTTCCCACCTGATGAACTTAGCTGTTTTTCTTCCTTCCTCCTTTCCGTCCTTTCTCCTTTCCCTTTCCCTCTTCCCTCTCTCTCTCTCTCCATTCCTTACTCCTTTATTTCTCTTTCTCTTTTTCTCATTTTCTTTCTTCCTTCCTTCTTTGGCCTTTCTCTTTCTCCCTCTCCTCTCTCTTTCTCCCTCTCTCCCTCTCTCCTTCCCCCTATCCCTGTCCCTCTCCCTTTCCCTCTCTCTCCCTCTCCTTCTCTCCCCCCCACTTTCTCTTGGGACCTATACACTGTAGGCAAGCACTCTGACAGTGTGCCACCTTCAAGCCTGGAGTTAGCTTTTAAAGTTTATGAGTTCTCGCTAGGCTAGGACTGTGGTGGGAGGGCCAGCGGGAGGAGGCCTGAGATGGAGTGCAGAAGCTGGAGGTCCCCACCTCTACCAGATTCCTACCTTCTCTCCCTCATGGTCTCCTTCCCCCTGTGCACCAGGTGACCTACTTCCGGCAGATGGGGTCCTGATCCAGGGGAATGATCTGAAGATTGATGAGAGCTCTCTGACAGGAGAATCAGACCATGTCAAGAAGACCCTGGAGAAAGACCCCATGTTGCTCTCAGGTATAGCCTCTTACTGCCTAACTTCCTCCCCTCACACTCTCTCTCCTAGCCCTGTCCTGTTTCTTCCTTTGGGACCAGCTCGGGCAGTAGTCTATTCGTGAGTTAAACACAAAGGTATTAGGGAACCTAAAAGAGGTTTCTATGAGACAGGCAGGCACTCTAGAAGCCTTAGAGGGACTCTGCTGCCTGAGAGATTGCTGCAAAGTTAAATACATTTCCTACTTTAACCTCAACTTGCTTGGGCTGTTTTAAATGGGCTCAGTTTGTGACCTTTTGTTTTTACGCTCTGCTAAGAAAGGTGGTGGTGATGGTGGAGGGGTGATGTTTTCTTTTAAATTTGTGCTTCATACAAAATCCTGTCCAGGGATAAATAACACCCCTTCTCATCTTTTCTCTTTCCTATTCTAGGGACCCATGTGATGGAAGGTTCTGGACGAATAGTAGTAACTGCTGTCGGGATCAACTCCCAGACAGGAATCATCTTCACCCTCTTAGGGGCCAGTGATGATGATAACCAGGAGGAGGAGAAGAAGAAGAAAGGTAAAGAACATGCAGAATGGGATTCTCTTTCTTCTCATCCCTGTGGATGAACTCAAAGCCAAAGAACAGATCCAGATGAAAATATCTACCAGAATGAAAAGGCAGAGCCCTAGACTCCTTGGGCTGAGATCCAGGTGTAGCCCTCAGCTCTTGGGAAAGCCCTGATAGAAGTCAGATGCTGACTCCAGGCTTCCAAGCCAGGTGTCATTTGAGCCTCAATCCCTGTGTCTTGGGTGGGGAGTGAAAGGTTGAGTCAGTCTGGCTCAAAGCAAGCTGCTAGGTGCTCTAACTCCAGGTCTCCTTTTCCCCAAAGATCAGGGAGTAAATGAAGCATCATAATTAAGGGGAAACTGACTCAAAGGATAAAATTGGTTCCTGCTGAAAGGATGGGCTCTCCAGGCAGAAAGACACAGCTAGAAGAGTGGGAACAGACAGTGTCATTCCCTTCTCCCTTAAACATTAGCCCAGTCTTTGCCCATCACTTTTTCCTGAAGTAGCAATCACTTTTTCCTGAAGTAGCAAAAAGAAAAAAAAAGATTCGAAAACCAAATCAATGCATTTTCCTGAGCCTTCCATCTTCCCCTCGGGAAGAGGAGGATTGCTGCTGCCACCCAGGGCCCGAGGACCATCTTGGGCCGTTCAGTGGGTGCCCACATTCTGAATCCCAGAAGCAGACTGTTGCCACCGCTGCCTGCAGGTGAATGAGGAGGCAGGTCGCGTAGTGATGTCGCACTGACATGGAGACACCTTTCAGGGCCTTTGCCACAGGGCAGAAGCAGTGCCCACCTCTCTCTCTCTCTTTGGCCTCCACTCCATTTTTCCAAGTGGCAGCCATGCTTCAAGAGAAAGCAGCTTGAACACCCACCTGATCTCTCTGCCTGTCATCCCAAAGATTCATTAGAACGTTTAGGAAGAATGAACGAGCCGAAATATGGGAGTCTTTTTATATTTATTTCCCTGTCCTACAATCTGTTCCTTCACTGTAGCCCTCTGGGCTGATGGCAGGACCAACAAATTGCATATCCCATCTCTTTGGGTCCCCACCCCACTTTTCTCTTTCTTGTTCAAACAGGTAAAAAACAAGGAATCTCTGAAAATCGCAACAAAGGTAACCTCTCCACCCACTCATTTATTACCGTTTCTATCTGCCCACGCTCAAACCAGTTTTTCCAGGCTATCATCTGCCTTCTCCCCTTCCCTCTCACTAATCTGTTACCTACTATCCCTGGTCCAGATGCTTTATTCTGAGGAAGGTGCAGAGATTTGGGGTGGGCTGAAGGTCCTAGGCTGGATCTAAGACAGGACAGCAGCACCCTCTGCTGTTGGCTTGCAGAAACTCACATTCCAGCTTCTCTTGGGTGTGCGAGGATGGATCTCCTCTTCCCAGGGTGCTCCCTGCCCACTGTCATTGGTTTCTGGGTTAGAAGTCTTGGCAGTCCTTAAAAGGGAGGGCAGAGGACCAAACAATCCTGCACCCTCCTCTTCCCAGCCGCCTCATCTGTGTCTTCTTGTCTGGATTCTGCACTAGTCTAACTCAAGGGTGCTTGGAGAGAGCCCTTCCTCTCATTCTCTCTCCCACTCTTTTCTTTCTTCCTGCCACAGTCTATCTTGTTCCTCCTGATCTGGTGTGTGTTTCTCTTTTTGGTGGCCATCTTTCCATCCTGTCTCTGTCTTGTTTGTGTGTGTGTGACACCACAGTCCGCCTCTCAGGAAGGGACCCCTCGGGCCTGGGCTATAATCAGGGGATGTAGCAGGAAGCACTCTCTTGAGCAGTGGTGAGAGACCCTTTTCCCTTTGTTAGCACATCACAGTTAATTCTTCACCTAGTCAGAGAACCAGGACTGAACGGAAACAGTGCTTTAATTTTAGATCTCTTTAATTCTTCTAAAAGCAAAAATTTCGGCTTTCTCTTACTCTGAGGATCCTTTTATGTCAGCATCTTTCCCCTCCCCTGAATACTTAATCTCAGATCCCATCTTGGACCCTCCCCTGCCACATCTGGGAGGGAAAAGGGGGGTTTCCTTCCCCATCCTTTAACTTACATAAAGAGGGACTGGAAGGTGTCTTGGGTCTGAGAGGCTGCAGAGGAAGAGAGGAGGGAAAAACATTTTTAACAAAGTAGGTTAAGACCTTCTAGAAGCCTCTCCCCTTTTAGTCCTTTTCTGCAGTAAACATTCACTATTTAAACACTGGATTCCAGGAAGGATGGCGTTGGTAATTACACTTAGTGGCAAGATAAGCCCCTTTGCTGGAATAAACCTAGCCTGGGGCTCTGAAGTGGTGCCAGGGAGCTGCCACTGAAGAGGAAGTCCAGGCCCTAAAGATGCCCCAAAACTCTCTCTCTCTCTCTCTCTCTTCCTCTGTTACCTACCATTCCATAGGCCCTGGTGGTGGGGAGACGGGTGGTCTCAGAACTAATGTCAGGGCACTCCAAGAAGAAGATAGGATTTTTGTTGTTATTGTTTGTTTGTTGTTTCTACCAGTCTACTGCTCAGAGCTACCACCTTGTCTGCTCACTCATCTGTTTATGTGTACACCCTAGCAAAGACCCAGGATGGAGTAGCCTTGGAAATCCAACCACTCAACAGCCAGGAGGGGACAGACAATGAGGAGAAGGAGAAGAAGTTAACCAAGTTACCCAAGAAGGAGAAGTCAGTGCTGCAGGGCAAACTCACGCGCCTGGCTGTGCAGATCGGGAAAGCTGGTGAGTCAGCCAGCGCTGCCTGCCTGTCGCTGGAGATCGCCAGCTTCTGTATCCTTCTCTGCACCCACTAAGGCTGGCAGAAGGAAAGCAGGGCTTCTGCGTCGCTACTGTATTGGACAACACGAAAAGAGAACATCTTAGGCACCATAGAAAGTTCTATAGGCATGTATTGTCCCAGCCTAATTTTGATTATCTTGAAGTCTCTTCGCATATAAACTCAGCCTGGATGGGATGAAATACAGAGGCAAGTTATTGAATCTGGTCCACAGGTTTGAAACATTAAAGAGACCTCACCAAACCCCATTCTAGCTGTTCCTCATTATTCTTCGGGGTGCAAGCTCTCTGAAGATTGACCAGTAGTCTCTACTGCTTGTTTTATATGTCACATCAGGTCAGGACTGAGGAGGCAAGTGCCTTACCCCACCCAGAGAGTGAGCACCTCCCTAAGTTTTGTGCTACAGGTGACTGTCCTGGTCCTAATCGAGCCAACTACAAATGAATACACTTCCATTGGTATCATTACCCCCAGCCTTGCTCTGAGGCCTCTGAATCATCGGGCCCTCAGCAAAAGCCAAGGGCAAAACTTGACAATATAGGATGCTTGTTACCCTACCAGTGTACCATACCAGAAGCTTCTGTGTACCTTAATTTTATCACCTTGAAAAGGCTGTGATGGGGTTGAGGATGGAACTCAGTGGTATAGCTCTTGCTTCTCACGCACAGGGCCCTGTAATCAATCCCCAGTATCAGAGAAGTGGGTGAGCCAGAGAGGGGGTGAAACAGTAATTCACCTTATAGGTTGGTTGTGAGGTGGTGGTGAAGGACACATCTGACCCATAGTAGGCACCATATACATTTTTGCTGCCATCTTTCCTGTGTGCTGAAATAGAAGATTGACCACTATGGATAATGTGCTAGGGCTACAGGGGTGTCCTTGTCACCAAAGTTGTAAATTGTCCCACATTTGTAGGCTAAGAGATGACAAGTCAGAATTGATAAGCTACAGTAAATGGACAAATACAGTGTCTGTATTAGGGACTGTAGAATGGAATCACAGGATGCTGTCTCAGAAAGCAGACCAATCCTCTTATTTATGAATGAGAAATGTAACCTAGTACATGGACCCCATGAGAATCAATGGCTAATTCAAATTCATGAGTCACACAAATGCAGGCCTGGGAATAGAACCTTCATCTTTAGACCCATTGAGTTTAGTAAAAGGCAAAAGATTTATACGATCTGAAGAGAAACCAGAGTATAGACCCATTGAGTTTAGAACCGGCACCTTTTGACTTAGAAGATTTTAGTCTGACTCCCTAAAGCTGGTGGTCTTAAAGCAACTTTGAAAGGCTACAACTTGGGGCTGGTCTTTCTGTGGCTGGAGCCCTGGGAACTCCCTCAAGCTTGGCTCATTTACACCTTCTTTTCCTGGACAGGCCTGCTCATGTCTGCTGTCACAGTCCTCATCCTGATTGTGTACTTTGTGGTCGACAACTTCATCATCCAGGGCAGGCCATGGCTACGTGAGTGCACACCCATCTACATTCAGTACTTTGTCAAGTTCTTCATCATCGGTGTCACTGTACTGGTGGTCGCTGTGCCAGAGGGGCTGCCCTTGGCCGTCACCATCTCTTTGGCCTATTCTGTGAAGGTGAGACTGGAACAATTCTGTTGGTGCTGTTGTTGTTTTTAAATAGAAATCATAGATGCTGTTCTTGAGAAAGATTTTTCTGTGTGTAAACTTTTTTTTAAAATATATCCTTTAAGTGGTTTACAAAGGAGTTGCTATTTAACAAAGCAGTTTATGACTACAACATATCTTGATCAATGTCACTCTTTCAATATTCTCTCTTACCTACCCCTTCCCTCACTCTTCTTAATATACATTGGATTCTTGCATGCATTCTCTCCCTCTTCTCATTTGTCCAGCCCTTTCTCTTGATCCCCTGCCCTTTTCAAGTTTTTTTCTTAAACATATGTCATCTCAGATCCTTACATTGACTTCAGAGTTTTCTTTACTAAGGTGATAAATAATTAACTTCAAATCTATAAATTCTAAATTCTAAAAAAAAAATACAGTAAGTTTCAAAATTACCTTGAAACGGCCCAAAGTCAAATAGCTAATAATTTCCAGAGTTGATATTCAAACCAAGCATTTTCTGTTTCCAATACTTTCCAAAGCATAAGAAGATAGTTTGTTCCCTCCACTAACAAATAATGAGCAGTAAAATGTGTGCCAGCCACTGATCATAGCCCTGAGGATTCCACAATGAATGGAGAAACCCTACATCCCCGACCTTTTAGAGCCTGTGTCCTAAAAGATGGGGATGACAAATAAAATGTTACTTGAGGGACTTCAAACCAGAAATTCTATGATGCTAACCCCAAAGATCATGCTTTTTATAGGGCAAGGGTCAGACTCTGAAGCACATACTTTTTTAACAAGGTCTCTAGGTAGCATTTTGATGCTTGATGTTAGTTTGACACTGCTACACTAGAGTTTTTCATTCCTTCTGAACACATCCTTCTATAGTGATTTTTTTTAAGTTTTTATTTTTTATTTATTTATCTTTTTTGAGTCCGGTTGTGGGCCTGAACTCTGGGCCTGGGCGCTGTCCCTCAGCTCTTCAGCTCAAGGCTAGCGCTCTACCACTTGAGCCACAGCGCCACTTCCGGCTTTTTTTTCTTTCTGCTTATGTGATGCTGGGTCGAACCCAGAGCCTCATGCATGCAAGGCAAGCGCTCTACCACTGAGCCACCTTCCCAGCCCCTATAGTGATTTCTTAAGGTTAAATTTTAGAAGAAATTATACGCATCTCTTAAGAGAATAATTCTGGGAATGATTATATTCTTTGGTGGAAGGATAATCTATTCTGTCTGCTTCAGATTTGGGGCAGCATCTCACAAGAACACAAGTCCTGGCAATGGGGAAGCACTATGGCTTTTCATTTCTTCAGTGATTAAATAAACCAGTAAATTCTTAAAAAAAAAAAAAAAAGCCTGGCACCGGTGGCTTATCCCTGTAATCCTAGCTCCTCGGAGGCTGAGATCTGAGGATCTCAGTTCAAAGCCAGCAGGAAAGTCAGTGAAACTCTTATGGCCAGTTAACCACCAGAAAACCCGAAGTGGCACTGTGGCTCAAGTGGTTGAGTGCTCACTTTGAGCTGAAGAGTTCAGGGACAGTGCCCAGACCGAGTTCAAGCCCCACAACCAACCAAAAAAAAAAAAAGAAAGAAAGAAAAAAATCTTATAGAAAGAGTATCTGACCATGTGGAGGAATACGGTCCAGGACATGGCCTTTGACCTATGTTTGGGAGATCCTAGTCGGTCTTCTCTCAAGTCCTTTCCCTTTTCCTTTCTAGAAAATGATGAAGGACAATAACCTGGTGAGACACCTGGATGCTTGTGAGACCATGGGTAATGCCACAGCCATTTGCTCTGACAAGACGGGCACACTGACTATGAATCGCATGACAGTGGTACAAGCTTATATTGGGGAGACACACCACCATCAGGTCCCAAGCCCTGATGTCATCGTGCCCGGGGTCCTGGACCTTATTGTCAATAGCATTTCTATCAACAGTGCTTATACCTCCAAGATTCTGGTAAGTCCCACCTGCCTTCACCTGGGCACCAGGAGGAGAACATTCGTTTTCTCAGAGACATATCTCTTCTTGTTTATTCTTCCTGCATCACCATCCCATGTCCCATTTCTCACCCCTGACTGAACATGTATGAGGAAAAACTTGGGATCGGTCTATGGGAGTAGATGGAAGGATGGGGATGATGCCTGTAGAAATCAAGGGCCCCAGCCAGGCACCAGTGGCTCACACCTGTAATCCTAGCTGCTCAGGAAGCTGAGTTCTGAAGCCAGCCCGGGCAGAAAAGTCCATGAGACTCTTACTTCCAATAAACTACTCAGAAAAAGCCAGAAGTGGAGCTGTGGCTCAAAGTGGTAAAGTGCTAGCCTTGAGCACAAAAAGGCTCAGGGATAGCACCCAGACCCTGAGTTCAAGCCCTATAACTGGCACAGAATAAAAAAAAAAGAAAAGAAATTGAGGGTCCTCCATTTACACTGTAATGGCGATATCTCTGAGGGATCCCATGTTCTTAGCAGACTTGCTTTATCTGGAGTAAAATACTTAGAAACTAATCCCTACAGGGTGGGACACCTGCACTGCTACGAGAGTGAATTTAAAGTTTCTAACCTGGATGGCTTTGGGGTCAAGATTTGCCCACCCTTTGAAAAGACAAAAACACACACTGCCTCCCTGGGGGCTGGGGGCTGCCCAGGACATTCACCTTCTTGAGTTCTCCCTCTGTCTCCCCGCGTGTCATTCATTCATCACGTGTATATTTTTCCTCTCAGCCTCCTGAGAAGGAGGGAGGCCTCCCACGGCAGGTGGGGAACAAGACGGAGTGTGCCCTGCTGGGCTTTGTCAAGGATCTGAAGCAGGATTACCAGGCCATACGCAATGAGGTGCCCGAGGAGTCGCTGTACAAGGTTTACACCTTCAACTCCGTGCGCAAGTCCATGAGCACCGTCATCAAGAAGCCCGATGGGGGCTTCCGCATGTTCAGCAAGGGCGCCTCTGAGATCATGCTGCGCAAGTGAGTACCCATCCCCCTTTCTCCTTGCCTTCATCATGGTCCCCTTGGGAAGGTCGTGGTGACAGGCCCCACGCTGAGCCACTCTAAATGATGAGCAAGCCCTCCAGCCAGCCTGTGACACCTCACTGACATCTAAGCACTAACCAAACATTGGTATTGAAGTACTTCAGGTGGCTCCTTTTATTTAATCCTCCCAACTCAGGTGCATAGCAATCGCCTCTCTGTTACCATGAGAAAACAGAGGTGCCAAGGCAGTTGTGCAATTTGTTCAAGGAGATCCAGAGAATAGAATTTCTAGCTACTTAGGAAGCTTAGATCTGAGGATCTTGGTTCAAAGTCAGCCCCAGTAGACAAATCCTCGAGCTTCTTATTTCTAGCCAACCAGCAAAAACTAGAAGTGTAGGTGTTGGCTCACATGGTAGAGTGCCATCTGTGAAAAAGGAAAAAAAAGTTTGAGGCCCTGAGTTCAAGCCTCCAATACCCCCCCCACACACACACACATAAAGTGGCTAGTTGAACCAACTTGAGTATAGGTCAGGTAGAGCTAGTTTAACCAGCACCCCAACTTCAACATCCCAGCTTGACTTCAGCCACCTTCTTTTCATCAACACATTCCTATTTAGCAACCCTATGTGTTTTTTGTTTGTTTTTTTTTGGGGGGGGGGAGTGTGGCAAGCATGTGTGCATGCACGCTCACATGAGCACTCATGTGCACGCACATGCCAGTCCTGGAGCTTGAACTCAGGGCCTATAGGGGCTTAGTCCCCAGGTTCTTCTGCTCAAAACCAGTCCTCTACCACTTGAGCCACAGCTCCACTTCTAGCCTTTTGGTAGTTAATTGGAGCTAAGAGTCTCACATACTTTCCTGCTCTGTCTAAACTTCAAACCATGATCCTCAGATCTCAGCCTCCTGAGTTGCAAGAATTATAGGCATGAGCTACTGGTACCTGGCTGAAAAATCTCTCTATTTTTAAGAGTTCAGAAGAGCAGATGATCTACAAGTGTCTTACCTTGTGCCCTGCCCACCTATACCCCACAGATCCTTGGGACACCCTTTCCCCTGCCTCCTTAGAAGGACTCAGCGGGGTGATGAATAAAGGAGAACTTTGACAGAGGACTGTTCTTAGGGATAGTGTCTGTGATTGTGCAAGCCGGTGGAGTGGGAAGGGAAGGAAACACTGATGTCTGACTATGGGCTTTTCCAGGTGTAATCAAATCCTTAACAAGGATGGGGAAGTGGTGCCATTCAGGACCAAGGACCGAGATAACATGGTCCACACTGTCATCGAGCCCATGGCCAGCGAGGGACTCCGAACCATCTGCATAGCTTACCGGGACTTCGATGATGCAGAGCCCTTGTGGGAAAATGAGAATGAAATCCTCACGGAGCTGACCTGCATCACCGTAGTGGGCATTGAGGATCCTGTGCGTCCAGAGGTGAGGCTTTGTCTTGGAGAAGGAGCAAGAAAATATGAACCACCATCTCCCAAAAGCTGCTAGCCTAAGCACAAGCCTAATGAGAGGCCATTTATGGAGTCCCAGGAAGGGAGAGCTAGTTCTGAGTCCAGTTGTGACCCCCGGAAAGTTGCCTGACCACTACTGCTGCAGCGCAGATACAGGTGTTTCTATGCCTCCCGTTTCTCAGTTCATGCCCGAAGCCATGCAGACAGATGGGCTGGCCTTGGTCAAGGCCAAGTCCAGCAAGGGCGTCCTGAACTTGGGAGATTGCAAAGAGCTGATGAGGTGCTGGCACCTGGGCTGGTAGACAGAGAGTTGGTCTGAGATTATGCACAGAAGGAAAACCAAGGCCTCGTCCCCAGATGCTGCCCTGCCCTGCCAATAGCTTGCAGGACTACGGGGACACCTCAGTTCAAACCTGGCTTCTGAAGCGGTATTTCGCTTCAACTCGCAGGACAATGAGAACAATTCAGATGTGACTAATACAGGGTTGGACAGAAATAAGGTACAGCCAGTAGCTGGACAGTGGCAGGTTAGGTGTGACTACTTAGGTGAGGTATCACTAGCCCCATACCCACCTCTCTTCTTTCTCCTAGGTACCCGAAGCTATTGCCAAATGCAAACGAGCTGGCATTACTGTCAGAATGGTGACAGGTGACAATGTCAACACTGCTCGGGCCATTGCCACCAAATGTGGCATTCTGACACCTGGAGACGAATTCTTGTGCTTAGAAGGGAAAGAATTCAACAGACTCATCCGCAATGAGAAGGGAGAGGTGGGTCCTGGGTGGGAGGAGCCAGGCCTTCGGGCTGCTGAGGGCGGGGCATCTGGGCAGGTGGGTGGCTTCTAAACAGAAATCTGTTCATAGTGAAACATCTCTTGCTACAAAAGCTGCCCAGATGGTGAAGGGGGTGGGGGGTGTTTGTCTTCATTCACAAGTTATCTTGTGAGACAAAAATCACTTGATCTTTTGCATGCCTTCCTACCTTTCAATCATGGGATGGTTTTTTAGATTTCCCCTACTACCTAACACCTTCCACGTCACTGCCCGGTAGCCAATAGGTGGCTACAGTTTGTACTTGGATGTGGCGTAAGTGTCAAGTAGACCAGAGATTCCTGGTCTCCAGAGAAATCACATACATATGAGGCCTTAGAAATGTTACCTGAGCCTCTGGAGCCAACTTCTGGCCCCAGCTCACCTCCTGGGCAAGGATTCTAGAACAAAGGCTTGGTACCCTGCTAGGAAGTTGGGAGGAGAAAAAGAAAATACACAGGCACTGAGTGGCTCTAATCAGTGGCTCCACTCTTGGAGAATGCCTTGTGGGTTTCATCCCCCAAGAGGCCAGGACAGGATACTATTTCCCACTGGGTTAGGGTCTCCAGGACTCCCAGAAGCTGGGCTTGGGTGGACAAGAGCTGATCTGAGTTTGACTGACCCTGGCATGGTCTGGTATTGGCAGGTGGAGCAAGAAAAGCTGGACAAGATCTGGCCTAAGCTTCGGGTGCTGGCACGGTCTTCTCCCACAGATAAGCACACCTTGGTGAAAGGTGAGGTTGGCTCCTGAGTGAGTGTCTGCCATAGCTGAGGGGTGGGGACAGGTAAGAACCAAAGCAACCCTCCTGTTCCAAATCAGGAGTCCTGTGAGAACTCTCAGGCTAATGGGAGAAGATGCAGCTTAGCAAACATCTGAGCCCTGGGGGAGTATTCAGAGAATAAAGTTGGGTTTTAAAACATTTATCAGTTGGGCGCCAGTGGCTCATGCTTGTAATCCTAGCTACTTAGGAGGCTGAGTTCTGAGGATTATGGTTTAAAGCCACCCAGGCAGGAAAGTCCATGAGACTCTTTATCTCTACTACACTACAAAAAAAAAAAAAAAAGCTAGAAGTGGAACTGTGGCTCAAGTGGTAGAGCACTAGCCTTAAGCACAAAAGCTCAGAGAATGTGCCTAGGACTGGCAAAAATAATTAATTCCCTGTGAGGTCAGGTCTGCCCCTCGCTGCTGTCCCAATCTTTTCTCTCTTCTATTCTTGATAAAGCCTTTTACAATTAAAAAAATTAATTAAGAATAAAACATTTATGAGAGGTACTAGGAACTAAGCCTGGCAGGTAAGACCATTCCCATTTTCTCAGTAAGGAAGTTGGAAGCCAAAATGACAAGTAACTTACTCAGATTGCCTAGTAGGTAGGCAGAAGGAATGCAGTTGACCTCTAAGTATCTGCCTTCAAATTCATCTGCCACTCTCCCTCTCCAACTCCAACTCTAACCTACACACACACACTAGTTCTGTCAGGTCACTAGATGAAGACTTTTTTTTTGGACTGTGCTAGTACTGGGGCTTGAACACAAGGTCAAAGCACCATCCTTGAACTTTCTTTTCAAGGCTGGAGCTCTACCACTTGAGCCACAGCCCCACTTCCAGCTTTTTGCTGGTTAATTTGAGAAAAGAGTCTTCCAGACTTTCCTGCCTGGGCTGGCTTCGAACTGTGATCCTCAGATCTCAGCCTCCTGAATGGCTATGATTACAGGTGTGAGCCACCACATCCAGCCAAGGACTAACTTCTTTCACTCACAGTGCTACCCAGGAATCAGTTGCTGCTCTGGGTGATTACTATAGACTTCCAGCTTAGGGGAAAGGTAGGAAAGAGGTAGAAGGGGTGGGAGGTAGTAGAGAAGGTGAACTGAAGAGGAAGAGCCCTTCTCCTGGGAAAGAGAGTCTTGCCCTTGCCAAGTATCCTCCATGGGCAATGTAGGCTCATTGTGACGTATATCTGTTGTTCTCAGGCATCATTGACAGCACTGTTGGGGATCAGCGGCAGGTGGTGGCTGTCACTGGCGATGGCACGAATGATGGGCCCGCTCTAAAGAAAGCAGACGTTGGCTTTGCCATGGTAAGCTCAGCACAGCGAGTCTCCATGTGTGCACAGCACCTTCTCCATCAGAAGTCAGGACAGGCCTCCCTCAGTCTGTTGCCCTGCAGCCCTTACATCTCTAATTCTATCTCTTCCCTATCTGGCCAACAATATGTGTGTGCTGTAATATGAAAACAAGATGGCAGGCAGGGAAATCCTAGAGCCCCTTACCAACTGAAACTTGAGCATGATGGTGATACAAGAACCCCATGCGACCGTGCCTGAGGGACGTTTGCCTCTCTGCTTTTTCTTTCTTTTCTTTTCTTTTTTTTTGTCAGTTGTGGAGCCTGAACTCTGGGCTTGGGACAGCGGTCCCTTAGCTCTACCACTTGAGCCTCAGCCCCACTTTCGGCTTTTTCTGCTTATGTGGTGCTGAGGAATCGAACCCAGGGCCTCATGCATGCAAGGCAAGCGCTCTACCATTGAGCCACCTTCCCAACCCTCTGCTTTTTCTTTGTGAGGCCAAGAGCATCAGTGCCATTCGAAAATGGTGCTAGAAGTGTTTGATTTTTTAATATAATTTTACTGTTATTATTATGATATTGTACACCAGGGTTACCATTCCATAAGTCAGATAATGAGTATGTTTTTTTTAAGCAAACACCCTAGCTGATTCTGATGTTCAGAGACATTTAGAAGCCCCCAGATGGCAAAGTACAGGCCTCAGATTCAAGTAGCTTATGCTTGAAAGCCTCCCGTACAGACTAATCTGTTGGTGATTTTTAAGTAGCAGAAAAGGTAATTTAAGATGTATTCTATACTTAAAAGCCAAAGCTTTAATTCTAGAAACTTTAAGAATACGCAAAATAGGAATCTTATGATGAATTCCCATGTGCCTGTCTGTCACTCAGTTTCAACTCTTGCCTTCCTTTGACCTTTATTTTTTATCCCACCCAATACCACTTCACCACTTTCCTTGCCTCAAGCTGATTTTTTTTTTTTGTGGTACTGGGGTTTGAACTCTGGGCCCTGAGCTTACAAAGCAGGTATTTTACCACTTGAGTCATGCACACAGCTTTTTTTGCCTTGCTTACTTTTGAGATAGAGGCCTTGCTTTTTGTCCTAGCCAGCCTGGACCACATCCTCCTGTTTATGCATCTTGCTGTAGCTGGTGGCACATGCTACCACAGCCAGCTTTTTCTGTTCAGATGAAATCTCATGAGTTTCTTTTTTTTGTTTTTGTTGTTGTTTTTTGGTCCATACTGGGGCTTGAACTCAGAGCCTTAAAATTCTTAATAAGCTTGTTTGCACACGGCTGTTGCCCTATCATTTGAACCATGCCTTCAATTCTAGCTTTTTGCTAGTTATTTGGAGATGAGTCTGAAGGATTCGTCTGCCCAGGCTGGTTCCAGTTCTCAGATCTCAGCTTCCTGAGTTACGGTAAGGATTACAGGTGTGAGCCAGCAATAGAAGTGTCATGAAGGTTTTGCCTGATTATCTTCAAATCTCAGCTTTCCAAGTGGCTGGGATTCCAGGCATGTACCACTGCACCCATCTTAGCTGAATTAACTGAACAATCCAAGACATTATTTTGTCCTTTGTTTGTTTGTTTTGAGGTATTAGAGATGAAGCTTACTTAGGGCCTCAGGCTTGTTCCATATCCCCAGTTTGTGTATGTGTGCTGGTCCTGGGGCTTGAACTCGGGCTTAAGCGCTGTCCCTGAATTTTTTCGCTCAAGGCTGTCACTCTACCACTTGAGCCATAGTGCCACGTCCCACTTTGTGATGGTTATTTGGAAATAAGAGTCCCACTAACTTTCCTGCCTTCGCTGACTTCAAATTTCAGTCCTCAGATCTCTGCTTTCTGAGTAGCTAGGATTACGGGCATAAGCCACCAGCACGTGGCTAGTATAATTATTTCTAACAATTGCCAAACAGAAATTTATTACTAAGAAGCAGTTTGAACATTTGTCTTTGGTTTAGTTTGTGCTACCAGTTGGTAGAAGCAGTTCATTTATGTCATGTTGCTTTCTGTTTTAGAGATTGCTTTTTAATTGTGTTTTCTTATTTGTATAAAATAGATTGTGCTGCAGTCAGGTATACAAAACAAGGCATGCTTGGCTCCTCTGTCTTTTGCCTTTGCCCTAGTTTTGGCCTATTCTTCTCCTGTGTCTTTAGTGCTATAATCAAATGTGTGGTATGTTTATATCTTATCTCCGTAGACAAGTGTCTCCATTCTGCCCACTCTTCCACTTAATTGTTTTATTCAGTTAACAACTAATTAGATTATTCCATCATGATAGTTATATATAGACCCTGTATTTCTTTCCACAGTGCAATGTGTCACTGTATTAGGGAACTCTTTTCTTGCTTTCTTTCTGACAGGATCTTGCATTATAACATCAACTTTCTAATCCTCCCACCTCAATCTCCTGAGGGCTAGGGTTACAAATGTACACCACCAAGCCCCACACTAGGGAATTGATTTATGGAGAAACTAAATTACACTGTGTAATGAATCTTCATTTGTTCCAGTCTGAATAGGACAATACTATACTAGGTAAAGAGAACAAATAGCTACCAAAGTAAGGAAAGAGCAACTCAGAGGGTTATAGGAATCTCAAGATATGGCTTCGGTTTGCTTCTTGAAGCAGTTAGGGTTTAATTGAATGGGCCCTAAGGGTAGACAGGATTTGGAAGTATGGGGGAAAAGGATGTTTCAGGGGTGGGGTACATGGTGGGAACAGAAGCATAGACTCTAGAAATGAACGAGCAATTTGGGAGATATTTATTTATTCATTTGTTTATTGTGCCAGTCCTGGGGTTTGAACTCAAAGCCTGGTGCACTCACTTGGCTTTTTAACTCAAGGCTGGCACACAACTACTTGAGCATCACCTCCTGTTTGGGCTTTTTGCTAGTTAATTGGAGGTAAATGTCTCATGGATTTTTCTACTCCAGCTGGCTTCCGACTTTGTTCCTCCAGATCTCAGCCTCCTGAGTAGCTAGGATTACAGGCATGAGCCACCAGCAGCCAGCTTGAGATTTGGAGATTTTAAATATGCCAATAGGTGTTGAGCAGAAAGGTTACATAAGAGCAGGTTGAGAAAATGAATCAGGGCTTCCATGTGAGGACAGGCTGGAAAGGTTACTGTGTCCGAAGCATGGCTTCCAACCATTGCTGTGTTTATTCAGAAACCTTCCATGGTTCCCCAGTGGCAGTATTTTGAAGAAGGATAGAATGTTCTGGAGAGCACTACTAGTAGAACAAAATGACTTAAGTGAGATACTGGTAGCAGCCAAAGAAACTTAAGAATTTGGAGATGGGGTAGATAGGACTTTGCCCTTTTCTGGGGGAGGGCAGTGGGAAAAGGCTGATCAGAGATCTCCCCGCATGTGTGCAGGAGTCAGGCCATGGCATCAGGGCCCAGCCTAGTGACCTGACAGCTTCCTTTTCTTCTGTGTGGCTGATGAGCCCTCTAGTGGACGCACCTGGTTCTGAGGTTTCCTGTGGGTCAGAAAATGGGAGCGTGGGCTCTGCTCTGTCTGCTCCTTACTGTCTTCCTTCCCCGTGTCACCCCACAGGGTATCGCAGGCACAGATGTGGCCAAGGAGGCCTCTGATATCATCCTGACTGATGACAACTTCACCAGCATTGTGAAGGCTGTGATGTGGGGACGGAACGTCTACGACAGCATCTCCAAGTTCCTGCAGTTCCAGCTCACCGTCAACGTGGTGGCCGTCATTGTGGCCTTCACTGGAGCCTGTATCACTCAGGTGAAGGGGCACGAGCCGGGCTGACAGCAGAGGGGCAAGCAGAGGCTGAGGATTATGGGTAGATGTTCAGTTGTCTACAAGGGTTCCCCAGTAACGTGGGGATACAAGTTCACTCAACCAAGTCCACTGTGCACATCTGCGTATGTGGAGTGATTAATAATGTACTTGTATTAATTGAGCATGTTGGTGTCAGCCACTATGATGTGTTATCCATGGTCTTTAAAAGCAAGCTTGCAGTTGGGCTCACGCCTGTAATCCTATGTAAGACACTATGAAAGAAAGATCATGGTTCAAAGCCAGCCTGGGCGGGGCTGGGAAGGTGGCTCAGTGGTAGAGCGCTTGCCTTGCATGCTCGAGGCCCTGGGTTCGATTCCTCAGCACCACATAAGCAAAAAGAAAAAAGCCGGAAGTGGCACTGCGGCTCAAGTGATAGAGCACTAGCCTTGAGCTGAAGAGCTGAGGGACAGTGCCCAGGCCCAGAGTTCAGGCCCCACGACCGGACCAAAAAAAAAAAAAAAAAAAAGCCAGCCTGGGCAAACAAATCCAAGAAAATCTATCTTAAACTAATTGGCAAAAAGCTGGCAGTGGAGGTGTGGCTCAAGTGGTAGAACCCCAGCCTTGAGCAAAAAAGCTAAGCCAGAGCACAAAGCCCAGAGTTCAAGCCCCAATATCAGCACAAAACAAAAAAAAGCTAGTTTGCAAAAAGCTAGTTTACCAGTGAGAGACCCAAGCTTGAAGACACTGAGTAATTTTCTCAAGGTTATTGGTGGCCGGATTCAGAGTCTCTGTGGATACCAGGAATGAGAACAAAGCCAGCCAAAGGGAAGGAGGGGCTGGTGAGGGAGGCAGGGTGGCTTCTCAGGGAAGCTTGAAGGACTGGTTCTTCTCTCCCACAGGACTCGCCACTGAAAGCCGTGCAGATGTTGTGGGTTAATCTAATTATGGATACATTTGCTTCACTGGCCCTGGCCACAGAGCCCCCTACAGAGTCCCTACTGAGGCGCCGCCCCTATGGCCGAAATAAACCTCTAATCTCTCGTACTATGATGAAGAACATCCTGGGGCATGCCGTCTACCAGCTCACTGTCATCTTTGTCCTTGTCTTTGCTGGTGAGCAGTTGGGTTGCTAGTGGAGATGGGACAGAGAATAGCCTGAGGAAAGAAGGTGACATGGGGTTGGTAGAGCCCAGAGCAGGCAGAGCAGCCCCACCCAACCCCACCCCAATACCCCCCGCCAGATGCTCCCTGTGCATTCCCACTACACAATGGGTGCACATACCGTCCACCATATCCTTTTGCAAGAAAGTAAATATGAATGGAGAAAACCAAGACACAAAGTTAGATCAATTGAAACCAGGGCTGCAATTTAAAATATTTGATCAGCTGGGCACTGGTGGCTCACACCTATGAACCTAGCTACTCAGGAGACTGGGATCTGAGGGCCCAGGTACAAAGCCAACCTAGGCAGGAAAGTCCATGAAACTCGAATTAACCACCAAAAAACTTGAAGTGGAATTATAGGTCAAGAGTAGAATGCTAGCCTTGAACTAAAAAGTGCCTAGGCCCCGAGTTAAAGCTCCAGGTCTGGCACAAAATAATAATAATATCCATAAGCCATTGACATGGCTATCTCCACACATTCTAAAATGAACTTGAAGACAGGTGCTGGTGGCTCACACCTGTAATCCTAGCTACTCGGGAGGCTGAGATCTGAGGATCGTGATGGCAAGCTAGCCAAGGCAGAAAAGCCCCCATGAAAGTCTTCTCTCTAATTAACCACCCAAAAACCAGAAGTGGTGGTGGCTCAAGTGGTAGAGTGCCAGCCTTGAGTACAAAGAGGCTCAGGGTCAGCGCCCAGGCCCTAAGTTTAAGCCCCACAATGGAAAAAATAAAATAAACCTGAATCTTAATTGAGGCCACAGTGGCCCCTCCATGCTTGTCCTCCCTATCAGGCGAGAAGCTGTTTGACGTGGACAGTGGGAGAAAGGCACCTCTCCACTCGCCCCCCAGCCAGCACTATACCATCGTCTTCAACACCTTCGTGCTGATGCAGCTCTTCAATGAAATCAATTCCCGAAAGATCCACGGGGAAAAGAATGTCTTCGCAGGCATCCACCGAAACGCCATCTTCTGCTCTGTAGTCTTAGGCACGTTCATCGCCCAGGTGAGAGGCCATCCACAGTTGCGGAAAGAGGTCTGAAAGATGCAAGCCCTTAGCTGGGGGCCAGGATTCCCTAAGCACTCAGGAAAACGAGTACACGAATAAGGGGGACTGAAGCTAGGGTTCCTTGAGCCCAGGACAACACCTAGTCCCTGAGTTCAAGCCCAGGATCAACCAAAAGACTCCATCTGTCCATCTGTCTACAAAGACCGGATCTGTTTCCCCTTAACTCCTTCAAGATTGCTTCTTTCCAGTGCTTCAGTAAGCAAATCAGGAACTGTACCACAAGGACCCCTGGGCCAAAAGCCACGTCTGGAGAGCAAATTGCTTTTTTTCTCTGTGGTAGGTTTTCATCGTGGAATTTGGGGGTAAGCCCTTCAGCTGTACGAAGCTCAACCTGATGCAGTGGTTGTGGTGTCTGTTCATCGGGATTGGAGAGCTTCTGTGGGGGCAGGTGAGTATGGCATGCCCTCCAGTGCACTCGCCCCTCCCACAGAGCTGTCTTCCCCCACCTTCCCTCCCAAGTTTCCAAGTTAGCTCCAATTCATGGAACCCTCCAATGGATAATCACTAGCTGTCCCTTAAAAGACTCAGGTCTCTTCTACTCCTACCTGCTGGTGTCTCTTGAGACAGACTCCAGTTTTTCAACCCATTTTTTCTAAAAACCAAGGAATCTTATTCTAATGGAACAGCAGTATGGCCACAGTACAAACATAATTCAGATCTCCCCAGCCTCATGCTGGGTTACAGGAGCGGAATATGTGACACTAACCTGAGATAAATTTAGATTTTTCAAGACCTTGGGAGAAGCAGAATGGCACATAGTTCCGAGCATGGACTGAGAGAATGGCTGAGTTTAATCCCGGTTCTCCTGCTCACAAGCTAGATCACTGTGAGCAAGTTACTTAACCACTCTGCCTCAGTGTTCCAACTTAGGAAAACTGGGCTGTTGTGAGCCACTTACTACCTGCTGGTACCAGGTACTTGGTGGCTATTAATAATAGTTCTTAGACTCTCAAGTGTGATAAGAGTTTCATTCCTTTTCAAATGCCATCCTCACTCAGCTCTGACCAGGCTGTGCTTCTCTTTGTAAACCCCATATCTCAGCTAATAACCCTTTAGTGCCCTGCCACCTGAGGCATAGAGGCTGCACCTTAACAAGTCTCCAAGGTCCCTCCCTGGGCCACAGGGCTTCCCCGAGGCTAGCTCCTGAAGCCTTCCTCATTACTCTCATTCTCTGTGCCCAGCCCACTTCGTCCTCCCTGGTCTGCTAGCTAAAGTTTGATACCCAGGGGGTCCTTACAGCAGTTTTACCCCTGCTCTTGCTTCACCTTCTGTTTGAGGCTCTCTCCTGAGAGCCCGGATGCCAGGTAGCAGCCATTGCTGTGCACATGGCTCCCATTCCAAATCAATTTTTGTGGGCTCTACCGTGGCCTGCCTGGGAAGTCCCTCTGTCCCCTCTGAGCTCTGTCATAAAGCATGCACTTATAAAGTGCTGGCTGATGGCTCCCAGTGATACATTTTGAATTGCAAGTGCAGCATAGCACGCCACGTGTTCTGATAATAGCCAGACACCCGTTACCTCATGGTCTGTGCCACCCACCTCCTTACCCAAGCCCAGGGAAACTTCCCATCTTTTCATCCATTCATGTCACCAACAGGCCAGCTCCTTTCTCCTAACCTACTCACGTGCAGTAGGACCATCTTCTCCCCGGATTTGCCTCCTCCTCCCCCAGTCCTGGTCCTGATCTCTGCCCTTCCTGCTCTATGCCCTGCTTCATAGTCCTGTTTCCCTTAAAAGACGACATGCCCGACACTGGTAGCTCACACATATAATCCTAGTTACTCAGGAAGCTGAGATCTGAGGATCCTGGTTCAAAGCCAGCCTGGGCAGGAAAGACTCTGATTAACTCCCAAAGAGCTGGAAATGGAGCTGTGGCTCAAGTGGTAGAGCATTAGGCTTGAATACAAAAGCCCTGAATTCAAGCCCCAGAACTGGCACACACACACAAAAAAGTGCACTGGAAAGGAAGAACTGAAGCAGGAAGAGGAAGTATCTATCCAGGCAGGTGTTATAAGCAAGTCTCTTCCATGCATCCATAAATATGAGCTGGGCAGCTGGGGCACTTGCTGATTGGCTCCTGAACACACCAGTGCTTTTCCTGCTGCTCTCTGGCGGGAAGGGTGGCAGGCAAGGGCATTTCTCTAGGCTCTGACTATGACATTCACACCAGCTGACAGCTCTTCTCCCCCAATTCTGGTGCACCCCATTTACTTAGGTCATCTCTGCCATACCTACCAAGTCTCTGAAGTTCCTGAAGGAGGCCGGCCATGGTATTTCCAATGATGAGATCTCCAAGGAAACAGAGGGCCTCGAAGAGATTGACCTCGCAGAGATGGAGCTACGCCGTGGCCAGGTCCTCTGGTTCCGGGGCTTGAGCCGTATCCAGACTCAGGTACTAAGTTGTTGGCCTGGCTTCACTTTCTGCAGGGGTGCAGAAGGCAGAAGGTCTTGGTGCCCTGCATCTCTTCCCTTCCTTAGGCTCACCACTACAAGGCAGCCCTCTATCCTAAGATTCAGACAACAGGGGCAGGGGTGTGTGCGTGGGTTCCTCTTGAGACAGTAGACCCAGCCTTGGGCCACTGTTAGCAGAGTCCTTCTGCTGGCTAAGCAAGCTTCCCACTAGCCCTAAAGAAATAGAGCTGAGTGTAGTGACACATACCTGTAATGCCAGCACTTGGGAGACTGAGACAGAAGAATTATGCATTTGAGGCCAGCCTAGACTAGAGAACTAGACCCTGTCTCGAAGAGGGAAAAGAAAAGGAGTAAGACAGCAGACAGCATCCCTCTGCCAATAGCCCCAGTATTCACTTCTGTGACTGGCTGTGCTGCTGTCATGGTAACACATGCTCTTGGGAGGGCTCCTGTAACAGACATGCACCCTCTTACAGTTTAAAGCCGTGATGGGGAATCTGATGGTTAAGTGTATAAAAACAACAGCAGTCTCTCGATGCCTGAGTATCCTTGACATCATTCAGACTTGGTTCCTGACATAGAAGAAGCTATCACTTCTCCAGACCCTTCCAGACCATCTTGTACTTTCTGAACTGGGGTAGAAGGAACTCTTAAGTCCTCACCTGTAGCCTGGCCTTAGCCCTGCAGTAACTTTTTCCCCCTTTCCATGCATGCATCCTTTGTGGCTCCCTTCTGGGTGGATGGGCTGGCCTAGGCCTTGCTACTTCTCTTCCCCTGATCCCACCCCATGTTCCTTTACTGTTGTAGTCCCGGGCTCCCCATCTTAAAGAACTGTCCATTCTAAGATCTCAAAGGTTTGCTAAAAGAGCCCAGGCTTATTTCTCTTCTAATTGGCTGGTGATCCCCCCAAAATGTTCCACTCCCCAAAACTGGTCTTGCAAATGGTTTTTTTTTTTTTAATTCTCTAGCATGACAGGTGCAGTGACTATTCCAAACCACGCACCTAGTAAGAACTCACCTCCCATGGGCAACACAATAGGTGGGAAATTGGGAGAAGCATGGGGCTCCTTCCCGTCCTGAGTTCCTCCTCCTAGGAGACCTGCACCAGCTGCCTCGTGGTGTCAAGATTTGCCCCCACCCACCTGCCAGGCCTCTGAGTCCATCAGGTGCCCCCAGAAGCTGGTGCTTTAGCTTCTGTCTCTAAAGCCCCAGTGCTTTCCCTTGGGTCTGCTCTTTTCCAAATAACCTCTTTGCTTTTCTTTCCTTCAGGATCATCTGCGTCCTCTTCCTCTTTTTTTTTTTTTTTCCTAGTCAGGTTCCCCATGTTCCATTCCAGTGCCTCCTCACTCCTATACCAGTGTCCTCTCCATGGGGGCAGAGGTTTATGGGTCTTCTTCCCCTCCACTGCCAACTTCCATCTTCTCCACTGTTCTCTGTGCTCTCATTGCCTACATAGCTTTACGCAGTCGACCTTTCCCCACTGAAGCCTGAGGCAGCTGAACTAGAACAGCATTGAACTCAGGTATCAAAGGCAACCTGTTAAAGAATGCCACTGGCCAAATCGGTGCCATTCTACTGGGCACCTGACCCTGTGAGCTGAGGAGGCTGAGCGTACTCATGAGCACCCTGGACCTCTGGATCTCTTTTGATATGTTCCTCATTGCTTAGGGGTCAGGGATTGCATTGAGGCCCAGAGCATAGCCATTGTTGAAATAAATTGGAATGAATTGCCTATGTCTGGTAAGAATATTGGTATAGTCACTCCCCACCACCATCCCACAGCTCTACCTGCCGGCCTCCTCCTCTGTCAGCAGACCTGTCAGATTTCAGGATCTCCCATGCATAGTGCTGCAGTGCCCTGGCCTTCTCTCTAATGGGCCTGGCTGTGGATTCCTGCACTCCACTTTAGCTAGAGAAAATGTATCTCAGAGAGACCCCATAGCAGAGGGTGAGCTAAGTGCCTCATGTCCTCAGCCCTTTCTACCAGGGCCGCGGCACCCAGGCCACTCCACTGCCTCTGCTTTTCTTTAAACACGTTATTTTTCTAGGAAATCTGGAAACAAATGTCTAGTTAATTGAGTTGAAATTTAGTCATATGAATTTTACCCTTCAGTATCTCAGATTACATGCCTTTTTTAACTTTTTCTTTTGGTGCTGGTACTGAGGCTTGAACTCAGGGCCTGGGTGCTGTCCCTGAGCTTTTTTGCTCAAGGCCAGTCCTCTACCACTTGAACCTACAGCTTTTTGGTGGTTCACTGGTGATAAGAATCTCACAAACTGTCCTGCCTGGCCTGACTCTGAACCTTAATCCTCATATCTCAGCCTCCTGAGTCACTAGGATTACAGTCATGAGCCACCAGCACCCAACACATGCTTTATTTTTAAGAGTACAGGTCAATCGGGCTGGGAAAGTGGCTCAGTGGTAGAGCACTTGTCTTGAATGCATGAGGCCCTGGGTTCGATTCCTCAGGACCACATAAGCAAAAAGAAAAAAAAGCCAGAAGTGGTGCTATGGCTCAAGTGGTAGTGCGCTAGCCTTGAGCTGAAGAGCTGAGGGACAGTGCCCAGGCCCAGAGTTCAGGCCCCACAACCGGACCCTCAAAATAAAAAGAGTACAGTCAAAGCAATGGATAAGCTGCTGGTCTTTGTCTAGCTATTTGGAAGATAGGATTTTAAATTCTCAAGATCCTTGGATACCTGTGTACCGCAGATATCCACCCAGGATATGAGGAGAGAGAATACTAGATTGTGGCTGAGCACTTGGAGTCCACGGCGAATTGTTCCTTAAAGGGTGCGTGATACACAATTCATGTTCCCTTCCACACTCCCCAGTTGTGGATGAGGGACTCTCTGTTGTTTTCCATCCCCTTTACCAGCCCTCCAGACATTGCCTTCCTCTTCCTTCCCCTCTCTTCTCTGACTGTGGAGCAAAGCTGTCTCACCCTCTGGTTCTTTGCAGATCGAAGTAATTAACACATTCCAGACGGGAGCCACTTTTAAGGGCGTCATAAAGCGACAGACCATGGGTCCTAGCTCGTCCTATGCAGCAGCTGGACCCGTCAAACCTTCCCCCACCACCTCTGCTGCTGTCTCATCTCCTATGGGCAGTGAGTGATAGTCTGTTGTGCTGCATGATTTGCTAGAATGACCACAAGAGAGCACGTGGCATCCACTTTGTAGTTACCTTTTCTTTTGATTTTTTTTCTCTTCAATCTTTGGACTTAAGGGAAGAAAAGACACAAATTCAACTTCTAAAATCAGGACATATTGCCTTATTTTTTTTCATGTTGGAAAGCTACTAAATCTTCACCATGGTAAATTCAACCATCCTGTTTCCTAAATGTTCCTCTGCATTGCTTATTTCTTCCCTTGGAGTTTTTGTTGTTGTTGCTTGCTTTTCATTTTCATTCTTTTCTTTTTGGGTTTTGGCTTTTGCTTTTTTGTTGTTCTTGTTTTGTTCCTTTTTTCTCCCCTCCTCTTGCTCCTCTGAATCTCAACTGTATCTCCTAAGCTTAGACGTAAGATTAGGACAAATATCAACCCAGAGACTCTACCTGGAGCAAGTTTGGGACCTCCTGAAGAAAGGTAGTAGGGACCTACTCTGCACTGGCCATGGGACTTCGCCTAATTGAATCCATGTTGAACTTGCTCCGTAATAACAATCCCTCCAACCAGCCCTGATGTCAATAAAAGTTGTAGCTCAGAGGTAGAGAAATGAGCATCCATGTTATCCTACTCTCAGGGACTTTCTTTCAACCAGATTGTGGTTTAGGAATTAATTAGGGGTTGGAGGCATGGCTCAGGTGGTAGAGTGCCAGCCAGTAAGCAAAAGTGTCAGATACTAAGTTCAAGTCTTATTCTCAGCCCCCCCAAAAAGAAATAATTCACATATGGGAATCAGAACTCTATGAAAAGTTCAAAATCAACTTTTCTTTTTTATTTACTAAAAGTTTTAAAACTGAGCAGGATAGTTGTATGTCTATAATCCCAGGACTTGGGAGGCTGAGGCAGGAGGATCAAGAATTCGAGGTGACTATATAACAAGACCCCATCTCAAAAGAAAGAAAAATTAAGGAATTTAAGAGCAACCCATTTTGTTCCTCCTCTGCTGTAGTTTATTTCACCAACCAGCCCTTTATTTAACTCTGTGTGTGTCTGTCTGTCCTGTATGTGTGCACGCACTTGCAGGCCTGGCCTGGGTGCTATCCCTAAGCTTTTGCACTCAAGACTAGCACTCTGCCACTTGAGCCACAACTCTACTTTGGCTTTCTGGTGGTTTTTTACTTGGAGATAAGAATCTCATAGACTTCCCTGCCCCAGCTGACTTAAAACCATGATCCTCAAATCTCAGCCTCCTGAGTAGCTAGGATTACAGGTGTGAGACACAATGATGCCCAGCCCAACCAGCACTTTATATCATATCTCACATGTAACATTTTAGGAACCCCTTCCTTGCCAGTCTTTCGATGGGAATACTCTCAACTTAGGTCCTGGCACTCACTGATAGGTTGTTAGACCCTTGCTAGCACCTTGCTCTTCCTGGCCATTTTACCTTTCCCAAATGGGAGACATTGAGGCAGCCACTAAGGTATCTGATGAGGAAGGAGTTCCACTGTATTGAATATATTGTGATACTTAAGGTTAATACTTAATGTTTAATCTATCCTCTTCTGACCCAGGCCTGGGACAGAGGAAAGAAAGAACAGATACAATGCTTGTGGTTCACATGATTACAAGCTGGGAAGAATGACCAGAGTTAGATTTGTTGGTTGGTTTTCTTTCTAGCCAGTGACAAACATTCTTGTGGGTGGTGTAGGGTCTTGGCATTCTTGAAGACATTATATCTTCAGGTTCAAAGTCAGTCAAAGCCATGACCCCCTCATTGTAGTCCTTCCAGATTCCTTATGTAATTCCTTTTTTCTCCTAGTTCTGCCATCCCCTTCTACTGGGCTTCTACCTTTGCTCTGTCATCCCTCTCGGGCGGGGAGGGGCGGGGGAGGCTTATTGTCACATGTCCCAGTGATTAGATGGTAGAAGGCAACTAAGCAGGCCACAGAGGCCAGTAGCTCTTTCAAAGAGGCTTGAAGGGGGTATCCTCTTCAAAGTCTACACGATGGGGAGAGAGACAGGCCAAAGCCTGCACTTACCTGGAGATCCTAGAGATTGTAGTCAGGAGTTTTCAAAGCCTTTGTTCCCATTCTAGAGCTCCAGATGGATTCACATGTGTGTCTGGTCTTTGTTAGGTAATTGCTGAGCTTTTCCTCTGGAGGGAAACCCTAATCCTTCTTTTCTTCCCCAAACACAACTGAGTCCCAGCTCGGGAAAGTAGACTCTTCATCAGACCACTTGCTCAGCTCCCCCAGAGTGGTCTTTGCACTCATTCCTATCCTGGTACTTCAGGAGGCAGAGATCCTGTGTTCACGAAAAGTTGCCCCTTTGTCAGGCCCCAGGCTCATGGCCCAAAGGTTTTGCAAAACAGTGTTGTGGGAGAGCAGGACTTATTGGGCTGAATGGATGGCGAACGAGGCTGTCCCCACACTGCTTCAGTAGCCAGGCCCTGTGCCCGCCCACCGCTCACAACAGACCCCCTGCTGCCAGAAGGGCTGCTGGTAATACTTTATGTGATTGCTCATCAACATGTATTCTCTGAGCCCGTGTGGGTGCTGAGAAACATTCTAGCACAGCCCCTCATGCCCTCCACCCTTCCTCTTCCTTGTCTCCATCCCTAGCCCACTGACTCCTCTTCACTTAGGCTTCCCTTACAGGTGACTGGCTCTCCCCTGAACTCCAGAGTCCCGCAGTCTAGCTGAATGATTGTTCTTTGCCTGCCCCCAAGTTTTCCCTATGTTCTGTACCTTCCTGTCCCTCAGTTCACCTTTATTTCATAACAGTCTGTTTGGTCACCCGGACAGGTAAAAGAAAAAGCCAGCAAGCAGGGTTCCAGAACCTCACTCCAACCTAATGTTCAAAAGCTGTTGTTATCCTGGATTTCACATATAATTATTTCAACTGAGTATTCAGTTGCTTAAAAAAAAAAAAAAAGGTAAATCAGGCGCTGGTGGCTCACACCTGTAATCCTAGCTACTCAGGAGGCTGAGATCTGAGGATCTCATTTCAAAACCAGTCTAGGCAGGAAAGTCCGTGAGACTCTTATCTCCAGTTAACCACCAGAATACTGGAAGTGTCACTGTAGATCAGGTGGTAGAACTGAAGAGCTGAGGGACAGCACTCAGGCCCAGAGTTCAAGCCCCATGACCAACAAATATAAAATAAAATAAAAGCAGGAAGTTTAAAAATCATCCAGAGGGGCTGGGAATGTGGCTTAGTGATAGAGTGCTTGCCTAACATGCATGAAGCCCAGGGTACAATTACTTAGCACTACATAAACAGAAAAAGCTGGAAGTAGCACTGTGGCTCAAGTGATAGAGCTCTAGCCTTGAGCACAGAGAGGCTTAGGGACAGAGCCCAGACCCTGAGTTCAAGCCCCAGGACAAGCCAAAAAAAAAAAAAAATCCCCAAGATAGAAAGAAGCCAGTGAAGAGCAAGTGAGCAGGTGCTGGCTGTCTCTAGGAGTCATGAGAAATTGTATCATCTAAAAGTATCTGAAAAACACAGACTGTAATCACTCCTACAAGGATGGGTGGGCTTTGAACCCCTCCCTTGACCAGTGACTGGGTCTGTACCAGCACCAAGGGAGAAGGCCTTGAGTTCAGACTCATTCAGTCACCTTGCCTCTCTATGAGATGTGATGCCCGTCACCAGAATTTGGGACCTTCCAAGGGTTAGGGAGTGTCCATTCCACCCAATGATCGCACCTAAATCTGGAGCACAGGCTGTGTGATGGGTAAACTCACCATCTGAGGGTCAATAGGCGTCACAAGAAGGTGGGAAAGTGGTTCAGTTTCACATGGTGAGGGTGAGCCAGGTTTGTCAAGGTGTTAAGCTGATACAGTTGAGTGATGAGGAGGCCTTTTCCTTCTAACGAACCCCCAGTCCTGGGTAGGTGTGCAGCCTGGAAGAGAGAGGGAAGGAACACCTGAGGCTGTGTAGTGTCTCCATCCACAGTGGTAGTGCCCTGCCAACACAGGAACCTCACCCTGTGAGTTAGCCTCACTTCTACTGTGCTCTACTACTTCCTTTGTTTAAACAACACAGGAATGAAAGAGAGGTCCTGCCCCAACATCCATCCCCCTGTACCTTTCTGTCCTCCTCCCCATTTGTTTTCTGAGGGAAGGAGACTTTTTTAGACAAGACTAGCAGTTCCCACCTCCCTCAATCTCTTTTAAACTAGTCTACAACCACTTCCCTTTCCCTGGGCTCCCTCTCCGGTGTCCAGGACCCCACCTCCCTCTTCCTCTCCTTTCTCACCTTCCTCTTCTCACTTCTCCCAGTGTAGCTCCTAAGCCACCGTCCAGAAAGACGTACAGTTCAGAAAAGCCAAACTCCCAAATGAGCTGCGGATAAACAACAGCTCTTCTCAGCAATCCATCATTAGATTTTGTTTTTTTTTTTCTCTTGACTCTCAAATTATTTATTAATCCCTTCCTTTTGGGCTAACAGATCAAGGACTTTGGTGCAGGGCAAAGCATATCCCTTTACCCAATGAACCTATAAAACTGTAATTTCTTCCCCTTCCCCCTCTCCATCTATCCCATCAGAAAGAACACTTGTTTGTAGCCTGGCTCCCAGACTAGGTTTTTCTCTTGGTTCCTTACTTTCCCTCCTGCATATAAGACCCTGCTCCTGTTCACAGTATGGAAATAGCTGGAGCAGGCAGCCGGTGTGGGGCGCCGTGGCAATGCAGCAGAGCCACAGATACGCCCAGGAGCCACGAGAGCCAGGTGTTCCTCGTGAGCAAGGGAAGCCATCTTTTCCACACCTTTATTGATTTGGTCCACCTTTTCTGGGGGAGGACATAGAGTGGCATTCTGCTTCCTTTGAGAGGAGAGGACATTGTGGAGGTTTGGGATCTAAATATATGCATGACTTCTGGCTGAAGAGGCCAGTTGTTACATTGGTTTTGTTTACTTAATTTCCTGCATGCTGCTGAATGAAGATTGGTCTGTCTGCCTGGCTGCACAATTATCTCTGGTCACATGCCACCCATTGTGTATTATGTGAAGACTGGTAGCTCTTGGCTCTTGGAGAGTTTTACGCGGTTCACAAAACTGTTAGTGTGTCATTTTTCTACTCCACATTCACAGAATGTTTGGCCTTGGCATAGAAAGCCACCATGCGAATCCTTTGTTAAGTTTGGCTATTAATTTGCACTCAGTTCCAATGCATCCTGCCCTCTTATCCAAAAGAGCTAATGAATCCCATTGGTTTCTGGTTTCTTTTAAGAGTGCATTGTGGGGGGAGGAGGAAGGAATGCTAACTTTGCTTTGGGTTTTCTACTTTTTTGTGAATGTAACCATTGAGACATTCTCGTTGTGTGCCGTCATTACTCACCTGCCCTTTTGCTTGAGATTTGAGCTGTGTAATGTTGCCGGTGCCCCATGACTGCTTCTGACGTGTTTGGTTGGGGTTGTGTGGAGCAATTACGTTTTACAGTTTGGGTTTTATTTCTCTCCTCACACCACTCCTTCCTTGTTCTGCTGGCCAGTTCTCACCTCCTTGTTTTCTTATCATCCTTTTCCTTCTCCGGCTATAGATCAGAGTGGTCAAAGTATTCCATAATTCCGTCCACGAACTCATTAAGAAACCTAAGAGCCAAGTGTCCATCCACAACTTCATGAGCACCCCTGAATTCTCCATAGATGAGGAGGCGCCAAAAACACCATTCCTGGAGAACCGACAGGAAGAAGATGCTGAAAAGGGTTCGAAGAGTGGGACCAGGGTGCTCCTGCTGGACGGCGAGGCCTCTCCAAATGCTAACAAAAACAACAATGCCATCGTGGCCTCCCCTTTGGACAGCCCTCTCCAAAGCCTGGAGACATCTGTCTGAACTTTTCATCCTCCGACTCCCATCCCTGCTTGTTCTCTAAGTTCCTTTGCATCCATCCCATCGATGATGGTGGTGATGGGACTTGTCATGTCAGCTGCTCCCGAGTGTGAGAAAAATCCCTCGCCTGACCACAAAGAACAAGCGCACACACCCACAAGGATTTCAACTGCAATTTGAGCTGGGGTTTGTAGCAGGACCCAGTCAAACCCCAGGCAGGTAATGGTAGAATCCACCTCCTTTGGTGAATTGTCATTTTTAAAGAAGTAACAGCAATCCTCCTGGCACCTCCCCAACCTAAATATTCATGGTGTTTCTACCTACATCACCAGCTCCTGACATCTGGAAGTGATCCGAAAAGTCTCTGTTATTTACAAGCTAAATTGAGAGTGACAGATATCCACAAGTGAAATGTGTCTGGGCAGAGATGGAATGTATAAAATCAGCCAGTAGAGTGATTGTAGTTAAGGTATTTTGTTTCCATGTTGAAAACTTACACCTGAAGGTCTCTAGTTATTTCTACCCTTTCTCTCAGCCTCTCACTCTTTTCCAAGGTTCTGTTGGTCTGGTGTGACCCTTCCCTCCGTTCACTCTGTTCTTTCTTTGTTGCTTTCTTTCTTGTTCTTTTTAAGTTGTGAAAATTAAGAGAATGAATGGGACGTGGATGGATGTGAGTCAACGTTCATCCCCCCTGGCTCTTATGGTCCCTTGGACTAGTTCTAGAGGTCGACCGGTCTCTCTGTTCAAAGGCAAAGTTCCCAGTAGGGCCGTGGGAGTTCCCTCTTGTTCAACCAGGTTGGCTTCTAATTCTAAACCGCCATTACATGAGCTGCTGGAGAGATCAGCCTTGACTGCGGGGCTTGCGGTGTGTGGTCAGTAGCTTTTATTACCGTCGGTCTGAGTTGGAAGGAGAGCTGCCCCCTCCCTGCTCTTGGGGACTTGGGGCCAGACGCTGGCAGGCCGTCCAGGCAGGGCTCCCACGGAGCCCACCATCTCTTTCAAAGCCATCTGCCACAGTTCTTCACAGAACCTGATTCTTGGGGAACAAGTAATTAACTAAGAAACCTTGGGTAGAGCAAGAGAGCTATTCTGACAGGATCTGAGCAGGCCTCCCTGCAGACCCCAGAAACCCTGAGCCCAGGTGCCTGTGTACTAGCTCCTCATTCTCCTCTTCGCTGTGTCCATTGACATCTTCATGAGGACACTTCCAACCTCCCAAAGATCCTCTGGTTTTGGAAATACATACCCAAAGGGAGAGGCTCTGGTGACATTGTGCTGACCTCAGGCAAACCGACCCCCTCTCCTCCCTGAGCTCACATGCCCCACTCTGGCCGCTGCCCAGGAAAACCCTGTGCCTTCTTGCCCTGAACACAGCCCAGCGCATCCCCTGCCCACCTGCCTCGCAGGAGTTGACTTTGCCAGGAGGCTTTTTAAGTGTTCCTTACTCTGGGACAAGGTGGAACCCCGTTCACCTTCACAGGAGTACCAGTTTGGGTTTGATTTTTTTTTTTCAATCCCACTGATGCTATTCGAATGAAGCTGTCCTGTCCCCAAGTCCCATCTCCCATGGGATCAGTGAGGCACATCCCTCCCCCCGCCAACCCCCACTGTCCTGAGCAGTGGCAGTGAGAAGAGGGCACTGGAGCCTCCCAACTTCCACTTTTCTATTTGGGAGGGGAGGGTGACCTGGAGCCTGTCTCCTCCAGCCCTTTTTACTGCCCCTTCCTTCTTGCTTCCTCTCACCTGAGCCGTTCAAGGTGGGAGGAGTCAAGAAATGTACCCATCACTCCGACTTCCATCGGTAAGAAACAGGAAACCCGATGTGATTTCACTTTTGTCAGGGTCACCTGCTTCAACAGTATCTCTGTCTTAAACACTCATGGTGGGGGGAGGGGAGAGCAGCTCACCCAGGCATCCAGTGTTCCCATGTGTATTAAGTACATTGGAGGATTTAGTTCTGTCAAGTCTTTTATTACCTCAGATCATTTAAAGAAAAACAAAAGCAAGCCAATAGCAAGCTTCCAAGGCGGTTTTACCATTTCTGCTCCCAAAACACCCTCGCAGAGCCTGCTGGGCTACTTCTCACAGCTTGTGTCTACTTTTTTAAAGTCAACCGTTTCGTGTGTGTGTGTGTGTGTGTGTCTGTGTGTTTGTGTGTGTGTGTGTGCGTGCGTGTGTGTATGTCCTAGTTTCCATAGTAAGAAATAATATAGAAATATTATGCAAAAACATAGTTTTCTTTAGCTCAGAAACTGATATTTTTGAGTCAGTCATATGTATTTTGTTTAAAGGATTTAGAATAAAGTACTGTCATTGTGTACCACATAGCCTTGTGGTAGGGAGCGTTGGACATGACAGGTGACTTTTGTTAGTATATTTGTAATTGGTTTAAAAGCCAATAGACCACACTTCTTTTCTCCAAACAGCCATCTTTATACTTAGGGGGAAAATTTGTTGGGTTCTAGACTTTTTTAATAGAAATTTTGTTGCTATGGGGTTGAGTCAATTTGTGTTTCTGTGCATATGGTTTTTTAATACATAGTTCGGTAGTGTTGTTGTTGTTTTTCTATTCAGTGTCACTAGCAGTAAGTGAATATGGCATAAGTTAAATAACGCTTTTCCCCAAAATGGTGCTTTGGATTTGTAAAGGGTCCAATGGGAGAGGTGGAGGAAATATCCTAGATTCCTTTCTTGATAAACCTAGAGAAAAAAAAAAAAAAACAGGAAGTGAATGACTGGTAGGAAGGAAAACAAGGAAGGAGAAAGTTGACCAAAGTCAGGAAGACTGGATGTGTTGTCCCAACACATGGGTTTCTGGGCTTTTGGTAAACAGTGGTTAGTATCAGGGGCCTTGTGTTTAGATGGGTGTTTCTTAAACAGCTGGCTGGCAGACTGGTACAAAAGACATTGTGGATCTTCAAGGATACTCTGATTTGGAATTTGCATTTCTTTTTTATGGTTCTTTCACTTCCTGTTCCCCCTAGACTTTTCCATTCGTGAGTCTTTGTGCAAGAGTCTGATCTGTGACTGCTTCCCTCCCCTAGAATGATTTTGTGCAATATATTAGATGTGAGACAGAGCTCCGTGGGAGGGGGGGGGGAGATACAATGGCTGATTCCAGTCCTAGGTGATAATCTCAGGACTAGGTCCTTTCCTTAGATGTCCTCCAAAATGATTCCCCAGCCCCACTGGGGTTAAGAGCAAGACCACCTAGAGGCGCCTCTGGGCACTGTGGGCTCTTCAAAGTTTGGGTTTCCTCTTCCCTTCCAGCTTCCAGGGGAAATTTGCACAGATAAAGCCGAGTGAGTTACTTCACTGCCGAAAACCCAGAGGGCCCCAAACCCTCTTAAGGCAGCCCTCTCTTTCCCGCTTCCCTGCCTTATGACCCAAGCCACCCATGGTACCATCCCAGTGTGCACGCACGATTGTTCACCTCTCCTGTCTCAGTTCCACCCCACTGCACCAGTGATGGTGGGCACTTATAAATAGCCGCTGTTATTCTTAAGCCATTCCAGCCTCTTCCTCAGAATAGACCAGACCTCTTCCACTTAATTCAGTGCCAGAATTTTTGCCTTCCCAACTCGGCAGTTAGGCCTGCCCAGCCCCTTCCCTCTGGACTCCGAGAGGCAGAGGGAGATGAGCTCGCCACAGCTGAACTAGCCCTTGGTTCCTGTGTTCTGCCCACCTGTATATACGCCATATGTGGATCTGCCTATGCCATATCTACGTGCCAACAAATGGACGTTGTTCTTTTCAGATTAGCATGCAGATAGGAATTTTGAGTTTCTTCTCTTCGGTAACTAATATAACAAGCACTGGTATTTTTGTACAAAAAAAAAAACAGAAAACAAAGACCCCCAACCTCAGAGGATTGACTCTTGTGGTCCGCATGGCAAACAGCGATCACAGAGTAGTGTGTATCCTTGTGTGTGTGTGTGTAGCCATAATTTGCAGTTCAGCTTAACAGTGCACCCAAATCCGTATTTGCATTTTGATATTATTGAAGCTCTATGTACAATGTTTTTGCATGTATTTATATGGTTCTTTGGGCAAATCTGAAATTCAAACGTGTTGTTCCACTGAGACAGGAAGAAGAGGAGTTTTCAAAGGGATACCTTTTCTTTTTTTTTTTTTTTGAACCAATAAAGCTTTTTGCTGATGAGCAGAAACCGATACTGTCATGCACTGAGAATAAAAACCCATGTCCACTGCACCATGCTGTCCTCCGTGTGTCTCCACTCTTTGTTCCTCTTGGAGCTGGGCACTGTCACAGCCACCTGCTGGTGTCAGCACAGAACCCAGCCTTCTCTCACCCTGTCCTGCGTTCCTGGGACCTCACTGCCCGAGTTGCCAATCTCGACCCATTAGAGAACAAGCTTTGTGCTGCCCACTGAGGTGAGTGGAGTCCATGATCCAGAAACTTGGACACTAGAGTCTTGGGAGGATAGGAAAGGGGCAGCCTGGAGAACACTCTCCTTTTCTATTTTATTTGTTTATTTCTTTTTGTGCCAGTACTTGGGCTTGAAATCAAGGCCAGAGATCTCTCTTTTTATTTGCTCAACGCTAGTTTTCTACCACTGGAACTACCACTCCACTTCCAGCTTTTTGTTGATTAACTGGAGATTAGTGTTTCTTGAATTGATCTGCCCAGGTTGGCTGAGATCTGAGATATCACTATGGACTAGGGTAGGACAGCCAGCTCAGCCCCTCGCTCAGGTGAACGTGGAAAAGACATGCCCTTCTCTTCCATCTTTTTCCCTACCCCTAGTTTTAAAGATAACTCTTTGCCCATCACCTTTAGTAGTGGTTTGTGAAATCCCCTTCCTCACTACCACATTCTCTCCCTGTGGTCACTGGATTGGTTCCAAGCCCTCTACCGATCTGCCCTTGTTCCTTCCCACGCAAACACATAGCCAGGCCTTTCACTCCCTGACTGATTCTGTGGTGGAACCAAAGAGGACTCGTCGGCTGTCAAAAAGATAGTACCAGCCCCAGACCGTGACCAGTGTGTGCTCGACCATTCCCATGACTAAAAGTAAGGAAGATGAGAGTGACATGTTCTTCACCAGCAAATACCTTTGGAAACCTGATGTCAATAACACATGTAGACATGTTGCTATCTCTGTGTGGCATGAACCATCATGAGCTATGTTTTCTCCAACATGAACCTAAGCTACAAATAATAGCTTGCTAGCTGAGTAGGCCAAAAAGCTTTCATCTTGAAAATGGGGGTCAGAGGAGGGACGTTTCTGGTTCTGAATCCTGAGGTGAGCCAGCCATAAACAAGTGTTTATGTTTAAATAATCTTTTTGCAAATAAGATCTCCCAGGCAAAACAAGATGAAGGAAGGAAATGCCTCCACCCCATCTTTAAAACAGTGTGGACACCCAAATGCTAGCCCATACTTCCTTCCACTGAAGAAATGAAATAACCAGAAGTTTAACTTCTCATGGAGTCTAAGCAAGGCTGGTACCACTACATTCCCAGGGATGTGTCTATCTCTTCTGGCTCCTGTGGACAAAAATGCCCCCTTTTTTTATTTCTTTTTGTGCTGGTCCTGGGGCTTGAACTCAGGGCCTGGGTGCTATCCTTGACCTCCCCCCACCCCCTTCCAGACTAGTACTGGTCTAGGCCACGGCTCTACTTCTGGCTTTCTTGGTGGTTAACTGGAAATAAGAGTCTCGTGGAATTTCTTGCTCAGGCTGGCTTTGAATCACAATCCTCAGATCTCAGCCTCTTGAGTGGCTAGGATTACAGGTGTGAGCCACCAGCGCCTAGTAACAACATACCCTCTAAGACCACATAGATGACCATCTCCTAGCATATGCTTTTTCAAAATTGGCTCAGTTACATTTTCTGGCCATATTAGACCCAGGAATATGACATTGGACTTAGGGTTGTAAAATTCCAGATCTTCATGTCTTGGCCTACTTACTTTTTGTTTGTTCCTATGTTGTGATGCTGGAGAGGTAACTCCAGACATAGTTACACAAGCACTCTAGACTGAACTACATCTCCAAACCCTTATGCCTATTCACAGTAAGTATATATTGACATTTTACTTGAGCCAGAGGTAGTGGGCCATGCCTGTGATCCCAGAACTTAGGAGGGTATTGAGTTTAAGGCTTACCTGGACTGTGTGGTGAGACCTGTC